GGCGGCATCCTCCTCCGCTGCCTCCGCCGCTGCGCCCGCCGCAGAAGGAGCACCGGGGTGGGGCTGTCAGAGCACTGGCCGCCGCCGCGCCCCCATCGCTGCCATCAATCTGAAGTCTGTAAACCAGGAAGGAATTTCAGATGTTCCCAGAGTTATTCCCTTAGATGTTGATTGCAGTATTCTCACTAACTTTACTGGTAGGTAAATTTTGCATGCTTTTCGAGTGAATCCTTGATTACCCTCAAGGAACAGAAGGCTTATATGGAGGAATCTGTATTGAAGAAACAGATTAACGCATTACTCTGATTTGGCTTAGCCCACAAACAGTAAGTTTTAACATGAGCTACTTCTGTTCAAAGATAGTTAGATCTGAGCTGACTGGTGCACCACAATTTATTATAATTACAATTTTAGTGAGTTTATGAAGGCTGTAAGTCACTTTTGGATTCCACTGCGTTGTTATATTCTACACTTCCTCAACTGGACTTTAAGAGCTAAATTGTTCTCTAAACAGTTCGCAGATGTGTGAGAAAGCGGAAGAACAAAGAAAGCAAGGAAGGAGTTCGCAGATGTGTGAGAAAGCAGAAGAACAAAGAAAGCAAGGAAGGAATTACCTACAGTTCCTCTGAAATATTAAAAATACCATTTACAGATTTTGGTGGATTGACTGATGTTTCTTCATATAACTAGCATCATTAATTTGTATATTCATCTTCATCATAGCATCCATATTTACATAAAAAATAATAACTTCGGGATAACGATTCAAGTGACTGATCTATAAACAGGCCTATTTTCAATGCCCAACCATTCCCTGTTGAGCACTCTAAGGGGAGACAGAGAGAAAGGGAGACACATGTACCTTAATGAATGTCCCCATGGAGGTAAGTGGCCTCACATGCATACAAATGAGCTTATGAAACCAGGGCTTTATTCTTTTTCCCAACAGGTAGGAATCAACATCTTTACCGATTTACCCCTTGACACAGCCAAGCTAATACCATGACTCTAATTTACACATGCACCGATCAGATCAAAGTTGAATTTGTAGTTGTGACTATCTATCTGTACCATCAGCCAGCTGGTTATTTCTCTAAGGGGTAATAGCAACCATTACGAGAATTGCAAACTCTGATCCGATGTTTGCTCTCTAACCTAGTGTCTAGGGACACAAATCTTGCACAGACCTACCATCTGTATGTGCACACATCTATCCTTTTGCCTACTGTCAATAATTTCTAATTAGAAACCAAACAGAACAGATATTCTGATCATATTAAGTTCCTGCAGGAACTTCAGGATAAGTTCCTGAATCCAGAAAGACTGGTTGGTGAAAAAAAAATATTAGTGCCACAGTAAAAAAAAATCATACTGTGAAGTGAACTTTTATAACAAGAGAGCAGAAAATTCACCTGAATAAAATCTTCAACTTACATGTATAGCATATTAGATATTAGAGAATATATCCAGTGAATTGAATGCCATAGGAAATTCTATTTCAATTACTCTGCCACTCACATAAATTTGGGGTCTGCAGAGGCAGGAAGAGGGAAGTATCGTGTTTTGGTGGGAGGTACTGTGTAGTTTATGCTTAACACCAGAGAGAAACAGGTTGCATTTTTTGTTCATATCTACTAGTGGTTCCAACACACATAGGAAAATTCAGCACTTGAATACAGAATACGTGTCCACCTCCCAACAGATCTTTTTTGTAATCTGAACAAGACGGTATCATGATTAAAGTGGGTTTTGTTAATTACACTGTATAGCATCTCTGTACCTCATACTTACATCTGACTGAAGCAGTTTTCCTATTTATTTTGTAATTAACCTAAATGCTGCAAGTTCCACTGCAGAATTCTGCTTTCAAGTCAAAACTGCATTAAAAAAGAATACCCTTCACTAGCGTCTTCTGTCATGTTGTCCATGGTCTGATAAAGGGGACAATGCTCACAGTCGCACTCAGTCGCACACGGCAAAATGTAATTTGAAGATGTTATAAATAACTAATCTCCTAGCAGACTAGTTGCCTGACTCCCTTTAAACCTCTCAAAACCGAGATATGAAATAATTCAGCCCCTTTTGAAAATTCCATTAAAAACCCACCTTCACCTCTAGGCCTCTGAGTACTTCTGCCAACCTCCAGATCTGCACTTTTTTCTGAGGCTCATTTCTGAGCTGGTAATGCAATTGCATTTATACACACCTAAGGAGTTGTCAGTGAACATTCATTTGCATGTACCAGTGCAATACCTTTCCAAAATGAAGGCGAGTGTTCAGAAGACAGCAGAAAAAAGGAAAGAGAAAGAAAAAAAGAACAAACAGCCCCACATATGCATTACATCCACAACACTGAAGGCACGGTTATAGAATAGTTAGTAGTGACAATAGCTGTGGAACTGTGTAACTGAAGAGCCCACCACAAGAAATTACATCTTCATCACTCAGTAATTGGCTAAAATCTGTTAACCAGCAAATACATCCATAGGAGAATTATTGGTCAAAATCCTCAGACACGAGACATATTCAATTATCTTGGATTACTATGTGCTTGGCGTCTCTCACAATTTGGGTCCAGCGAGGGGACAATGCAATACCATTTTCTCACAGTTCTGGCAATGTAGACAAGTCCCTTTTCTACATTTGTTTCAAATTCAAGCAACTACAATGAGAAATTTATTATATCTTGTTTTTAACTGTAAGTCAGACCTTTCTGCTGTGCTTTGACCTTGTCACAGGCTGGCATGCAAAACCAGAACAATTAGATGTAAAATGACATGATTGTCTTACTTCTACAGTCTGAACACTTGACAAGCAGCTGTAGGACAAGCTTTGGAACCATCCAAATCCAAATGTCAGATGAAGAATCATACTACTTAAATGGAATACCAAGAGCAGTCTTGGGTATCACCCTCTCACAGGCAGTTCAATAAGCTCTGATTATATTTTTCCCAAGATAAATAAAAAAGATGAAAATAGAGATTTTTCTATTTGAGAACCACTGCCCATGTAAATATTGCTCTTAATCACAGCTGTCAATATTTTTCTCTCACAGAACCAATAGTCACCAGAAAATGCAGCAAAATAAAAAACTTCCAACTTCTAATATTTAAACTTAGAATAAAGCACTTGAGGACTGTAAAACCCCCTGATTTTAGATCTTACACAGCTCTAAATATTGGGTACTACAATAATGTTTTTACTAATAAAAGAGTACCACATACTAGTCTATTGCAAAATTACTTTGATCAACTTCTAAAACAGCCAGCACAAGAAGAAACCACAACAAAAGACTGCAGGACCTATTCTCTTTATGACTTATATCAGACTGGATGTTCAAAATTCTCACACACTTTTGAAAGTTTCTGCCTATGAGAAAAATGTAACAATTGAGAAAGAATTTAGGGACGCTCATCTTGCAGAATACAGTAAGCCTATTAGCTCTGAAAATGCAAAGCTACATTCTTTTTCATCTGGAGCGTGTCCAAAGAAGGGCAATGAGGCTGGTGAGGGGTCTAGAGAATAAGTCTTATGAAGAGCGACTGAGGGAGTTGGGGCTGTTTAGTCTGGAGAAGAGGAGGCTGAAGGGGGACCTTATTGCTCTCTACAACTACCTGAAAGGAGGTTGTAGTGAGGCAGGTGCTGGTCTCTTCTCCCAACTAACTAGCGATGAGAGGCAATGGCCTCAAGTTGCGCCAGAGGAGATTTAGACTGGATATTAGGAATAATTTCTTTACTGAAAGAATGGTCGAGCATTGGAACAGGCTTCCCAGAGAGGTGGTGGAGTCACCATAACTGGAGCTGTTCAAAAAACACGTAGATGTGGCACTTCGGAATATGGTTTAGATGGCATGGTGATGTTGGGTTGTCAGTTGGACTTGATGATCTTAGAGGTCTTTTCCAATCTATGATTCTATGAACCTAAAATTGAGAACATATATTTCATCATTTTAATCCCTGTAATTCTAGTTCAATTTAAAACAATTAGTTACCCAGAGTTATAAAGTAATTTAAAAATAATTTTTAAAAAATTATTCCTGAACTTTCTCTGTATTTCTTTAAGTAAAGAATTGCACTGGGCCAACCTTCAATGATACAACATTTTATTATGTGACTTATGGCATAACCATTCATGCATTTGTGCATTTAATGGTACTTGACTTCTAGCCTTATACTTCGTAAGGGTAAGTGTTCTATTGCGTCATAATTCACACCCTGTCATGTCCATGGCAGACTGAGAGAATTTGAATTTAAATGCACTAGAAGACTGGGCAAGCAATGACAGCTGAATTGTAACCATATGAAATGTGTAGTGGGAACCATAATCTGTTTTTCTTCTAGGGTGTTCCTAGGACAGACAACATAGGGAAAATGGAAAGGGAAAATACAAGTGGCTAGAAGCTAAAGGCAAAGAAACAGAAGAAAGATTTGTTTACAAGAAGTATAATAATGCAGGAACTAAAAAGCAAACACAATCCTACCCATTATAAAGCTAGGACAATAATACAGACAAGACACTAGAAACAGCGTATTTTCAACTTCTGTTCTTGTATTACTGCTGTATAAATGCAATATGCACCGCATGTCCAGACATATGGTCTAACAATACTACTCTCTTCATAGAACATAGGTGCTTCTTTCCCTTCCTATCCCCCTCACCTTTTGGAGCAAACAAAGAACATCTTTTTCTTTAAAGAAAATGCAGATTAACGGTGTCACCAGTTTAACCGACATCTCCACATATCAAGAAAGCATGAACCATCACAAAGC